CCCCGCGGTGGGGCGAGAAGGAACATGAAGAGAAGGGAACGAGCAGGGAAAGGAGCGGTTGGCTGACCTCATCTGCCATTGCTCCTGAGCGGCCACGGCCTGGCAACTACCCACATTGCTCCTTCCTGCTGGGCTGCTGCTCACGGGGAGGAGATGGAAGAGGTGGGAGTGAAGATGAGCCTAGGAAAGCACGAGAGTGGGTGGAAGGTGGTGTTTTATTATTTGGGTTTGTTTCTTGCTGCCCAAGCCTACTCTAATTGGCAGTAAATGAAATTAATTTTCCCCAGGAAATCTGTTTTGCCCATGATTTTAACTGGTAAGTGATCTCCCTGTCTTTAGCTTCGCATACGAGCTTTTTCATGTAATTTTCTCCACACATCCTGTTGAGTGGGAGAGCAGGATGCAGGATGGGCATCCTGCAGCCAGGTAAGGTAGGCCCACCATCACCACTCAGGTCCTTGCCTCAGAGAACATCACCACCATTCAGTAAGCAGCATAGCAGGAAGAGCTCAAAGAAAGCTCACTTAGGCTATCATATTTATGGAATAAAGTGAGCCAACCGGCTCACAGCCAAATTGAATGCAATGGGAAAGATAAGCATGGCACTCCTTGTACTCAAAACCTCCTTTGTTCCTTGACAAATGAGTCTCGGAAGAACCACCTGCTTTCTGAATCACACGGTGAGCATTCAGTTTCCAAGCTCATTTGCACCAATGCTCACCATGTCACCCTGTTCCTGTGTGGGATTTTAGGGAACAGGTTGGAGTGAGAGAAGTTTTTGGCCTGGCTATGTGCTAGCCCTTTCCTGCCGTTGGGACCTGCACCACACTAGCACTGGGCTGGTCAAGAAGTTGGGTCCAGCCATCACACCTGGCTCTAAAGCCCCTGCACCTCTGGGCTAGGGTGTCCACAGATGACAGCTCTTTTTGTCCTCTCTGAATCACTGTACAACAGGAATATATTGAGGCCACATCTCTGTTCATTTATGGCACTTTAGCCCTCGTTCCCCTTTCCCTGCCCCATACTCACTGTTCTGGGGCTTGAAACAAGCCTGAAAGGAGTAGGCAGCTCCACCTGCCTCATCCATGTGTGCCATCAATGGAGCCAGGTGGCATGGGGCTTGCACCTTAACCACCCAGGCCCCACAACTACCTACTTTCTCCTAACCTGTCTGGGAGGCTCCTTGTGGTGCCAGGGAGGAAAAAGTGGGGTGGTAGCGCAGCTCTGCTATGAGCTGCAGAGGAGCAGTTGGCTGGTGCTCTTGGATCTTGACTTAAACACCTCTGAAGTCTCTCTTCCTACTGGGAACAGCTTGGCTCAGGGTCTACTTGTCATGGTTTAAGCCCAGCCAGTAACTCAGAACCACGCAGCCGCTCGCTTATTCCCCCTCCTTATTCCTCCCCTTGCTCCCGGAGAGATCGGGAGGACAATCGGAAGAATGTAACTCCCACGGGTTGAGATAACAGCACTCCAGTAACTGAGGTATAATATAAAACTACTATTGCTACCACCAATAATAATAACAATAAGGGAAATAACAAGGGGAGAGGATACAATTACTCACCACCCGCCGACCGGTACCCAGCCTGACCCGAGCAGCGATCTGGGCCTTCGGATAACTCCCCCCAGTTTATATACTGGGCATGACGTGCTGTGGTATGGAATACCTCTTTGGCCAGTTTGGGTCAGGTGTCCTGTCTCTTCTTCCTCCCAGCTTCCCCTCCTCCCTGGCAGAGCATGAGACTGAGAAAGTCCTTGGTCGGAGTAAACATTACTGAGCAACAACTAAAAACATCAGTGTTATCAGCATTGTTCCCAGGCTGAAAGTCAAAAATACAGCACTGCGCCAGCTACTAAGAAGGAGAAAAATGACTGCTATAGCTGAACCTAGGACACTACTAAATGCACACCTCCTCTCATTGGAAATTGTCATCACAAGTACATGCCCCATAGCAGCTTCACAGTCTCTGTAAGTACTGTAAAAACTTATTTCCTGGAGTCTACCGATGTTTTCACACTCATTTTCAAGAAACTTTTGTCTACCCCAACTCCACTTGCAATAAAGCAGGTTTCTCAGCGTGCCCTGGATTCCTCCTATGCCTGTCTTCTTTGCCGTGCTACATCTCCCATTTGCCACTCTCCAGACGTCTGTGTTCAACTTGTACTCAGTAGCAGCAAGGACTGCCATTGAATAGCTGTCAGTGTTACATGCCACTAAGAGCAAATGTGTGGACTCTAGAAGCAAGAGTGATTCAGATTTGCTCCTACTCAGGCAGTCTACACAGCAGTCACCTTCACCATTTGCCTCTGCCATGAAAACCGTGCTGCTATTCTGCAATACAGAATGTCAGCCAAGAGGCATACATTAGTTAGGAACCATTATTTGAAAATAATTTCTTATTTAAAATTGCTTCACTGATTGTTTACATATTGGGCATTTGTAATTAAGAGTTTTGTTCAGCAGAAAGAAGAAAAATATTTAAAAAAAATAAGAGAGTAGTTCGAAAGGAAAAGTGGTTACTCATGATTGGAAGGAAATGGTTTGGGCCTATTGAGCTTAGGAGTAAAATATTATGGGAAATTTAGTCCATAAATCCTACAATAATTACTTTTTTGAGCTTTGCTTATCCCATCTGATGAGACATACAGAGTCAGTAATTAAATGGCGTCAGAAAATGCTGAAGCAAAGCCTCCCTAACTCATCACACCCTCGATGAATTCCTCTGCTTTCTGAATCACTTGACAAGGACTGTCAAGAATGCACACAATTTTCTTTGGCACTAGCCTTAACTGGATCAAATGCTAAAGAGGTCAAATGATTCCAGCACAAACCTGGCTGCACGAGTTGGTAATTCCCATAAAGGGAGCCTCTGGGAGTCTCAAAATTTTCTTTGCAGCCATTTGGGAGCAGAGGAGATTCATTGCAGCCAACATGGCAATGTTTTCCTTAAATGTATTTAGAGGCTGTCCCTGAAAAACTCTTCTTATTAACAAGGCTGCTTTTTATTCCTTGTCTCCTCATAGTGTGGTGCTCTTAACTTCTTGGGTTTCCTGCATTCCATATAACTTTATTTTCTATGTTAACCTGAGCACCAGTACAGTAATATTGTCATAATACTGTTACTGCACAAATAAATAAATTGCATCGACTAAGGATCCCGTACCTCTTCAACCACAACCTACTATGGTTTGCTAATACTGATAGACTGAATTCTGTCTATCACCTACAAAATGCTGTGTAAGCAAGGTGATTAACCCTGTATCTACATCAGAGAGCAGCTTAGTGCAGTAAGAATGGAAACACTTGGTGATATTCCAGAGGGGTTAGTTTAGACTAGCTGCATTCTAGTGCAATAGACAAAATGACCATCAAATGGTGGTGTCTATCACTTGCACACCAGTAGCTCATAATCTCTTAGATAAATTTCATCCAAAAAGAATCCAGCTCACACACTCCAAGACTGTCCTGGGGGTTAAAGAATGCTAAACATAGACAACTGGGAGGCTCTCTTCAAAAGCACATTCCTAATCAAACACAAATGTGAATGTAGACACAGTAAGTACAGATCTGCTAAGGAAAAATACAGATTGAAGGACAAGGCATTCATTTATTACCATTAAAATTTGAGGTTTCTTTGGTCCTTTCCTCCCTACAGCTCTGGAACCATTCTGAAATTTATGCTTCATGGCACTGTTCTGAATTACTGTCCTCTTAACAATTTACAAACACAGAAGTGGAGAGAGACAGATTAAATGACTTGCCCAAGGTCACAGTACAAATCATAAGGAATACAGAATATAAAACTTTTCCAGCTTCCTCATGTATTTTTTGCCACAAATTTGTACCACACTTTTCATTTGGCTATACAGAAGAAGACAAAGGATTTAGGACTGCATCTATATGTCAGATCATTAATAGCAATACATCCTTACTAACAACTCATCCAGTAGGAAATTAATTTACTCACAATATGAAAATACAGCTCTCATTTATTTTGTTGAATATTTACTTTGTGAATTATTTTAGCCTTACTTTCCAGTTGGGAAGAAAACCACAGGACTCATAAAAATGTGCTTTATCTTTAATTATATCTTAAGATGAATACCAAAATTCTAGTGAATCACCCTGTAAAATATACTGAAAATTGTTTTCCATGTCAATCATCTAGATTTTTCTGTAACCACTTGGCAACTTTGATCAGCAGTTCTCTCCTTTCCATATTTTCAATTTTTGTGAGCTCCAGTAGCAGAGTAGTAGCCACTCTCTCATCCTCTTCCAGTGTAGCATTATAAAAAACCTGCAACTGAAGAAATAAACACATGAGCTTGGTTCCTATAACTTCACATGCAGCAAGCAAATGTGTACCTGACAGGTGATTTAGACAGAAGTGCACAGAAAAGGGAGAGACTAAACAGGAGATGGGGCAAACTTACTGATTTGCACTGAGGTGGGAAAGCTCCCTGCATATTAGGAATGTGCCTTTGGCTGTCCCTCTAAAAATCCTTTCAAATGCAGCCAACTTGACTAGAACTGTTGGTAACACACAGTGTCTAGGACTAGCTGGATAACAGAATCCTCTTGTGTTGCCTGTTCTACAGTCACAGAACAAGAAATCTTTCCCATCAGTCTAATGAGCAGAAGACAAGAGAGGACTGAAGAATAGCAAAGAAACATATGGGGGGAGTGGGAAACAAAAATAAGAGAAATTATATAGATGTCAGCACGATAACCAGCAACCTAATATGCCAGCAGCCCAACTTTTGGTACATGATCATGGTAAAGGTGATCTCTACAGGCAGATTTTGAAGAGGAAAATAAGCTTTTGGTAATATTTACAGGGTCTCAGTTCCAAACCTGAAGGTTAATACAGAGGCTGGCAATGCTGGCACTGGACTATTGCTTTTATCATCCCAGGGAGTTAACTTGTCCCTAAAGAAGAAAAGATGAAAAACTTATAGTTCATGAATGTTGAAGAGCTATCTCTTTGACTATAGGAGCTAACTCTCTGAGCTGCTCTCCTCATTAGCATCCCTTCTCAGTTACTTGCTGTATGCATTCATCACTCAGAAGCAAAAAAGGAAAGCAAAATGTTTCTTGCAATGACAGATACTAGACATATCGGGCTGGCACAGAAATGTGGATCACATGCAGACAGCACAAAAGCTGAGTTGTTGAGAAAAGAAAATTATATTTTGGGAGAAAATCTGGGAAGACTTAGACTGGAGGCAGAAGAGCAAGAAAAAAGTATGAAACAAGCAGTGATGTGTCACAGGCACTAATGTGGATTATTGTGGGGAGTAAAACAAGACAGCCTAGAGCCACCTCACAGAGATTTCCACCCTTCACCAGGGTTCCCAAAGCCCATTCCCTTTTTCCAGATGTACAGCAGCCCAATTAGAAAATACTGTTCATGGGCTCATCTAGGCTGTCACAGAGTGAAAAGAACTGCATCACATGTAGGCCACCAGTTCAGCACACAGGCAGGCAACCTCTTACAGGGCAGCCACGCAGAGCAGGACAATGTCTGTCACTTCACAAAAGCTGACTTTCATGCCATGCTTAACAACCAACTGCACACACAGACTGCAGGGCTGTGGGCACATGTTCACATGTTTATTTCTCAGATGAGGAAGTATCATTTTTCTCAATGTCTCAACACAGCAACATTGTACAATATATTCTGTTATTTCTTAAAAAACCAAGAGATTTAAAAACCTGTACTTACAAATTGTCAATAAAGTTAAAACTAACTGCTTCTCTGATTTACCTCTTGGATCTGTACATCTGTATTGACAAATCTTCCCATGACTTTTAATACATCATGTAGTAATTCCTTCCCATACCTGTAAAATTTAGATGAAGGACCTTCAAACATCATGTTAGCAAACATACTAGATTTTATCTCATTTGGAAATACTCTATTTAGTTATTATTTACCATGTTGAAAATATCAACTAAGCTGAAGTTTGCAACTGTGTACTCTTTTTTCCCCTTTTAAAGAAATTAACACTCAATTTAGACATTAAAGCAGAGTGAAGCACACTTATTACTCTTCATTTTTATTTCACAGGAAGATCTGGTATTTCTACTTTGGTGAAATGAATTCTTTTCTTAAAATGGATAGTCTTTGTGAGCCCATACAGCCAAACTGAGCTAGAAAAGCTAACTAGTATGATTCTAACAACTTGGCATTTCTGTTGGTATATCTTGAGGATGATGTATAAGTTAACACCTACACTATTCTTTTAGTTTGAAAATAATGGGTCAGTTTCCCAGTAAATTTCTCATCAGCATGAACAGAGAAAAAAACTCCATAAGGAAACTATCTGGTGTGATGCAAATCTGCTACAATTTGCCTTTTCCAGTGTTAATCAATAAAGACACACATTTGAATGCTCCTAGATGGCTTGTCTTGGTTACGCTGCCACTAATAACCACCGATGGACTCCTCTGCCACTGAAGACAGTAGGAATGTACTGTCAGAGCCCTGCTGCTTTTCACCATTGCCAAGAAGAGAGGGAGTCTTTGAACAGGTATCAAAATACTTGTTTTACTTGAGACAAGTAGCCCAAGCTCACCTGCAGTTTACTTGCATTAATTCAGGGAGGCTGGAGATGAGTTAGGACTTAAGTCAGTGAATATTAACTGTAGTTGGTCCTTGTAGCACTTGTAAACCTGTATGCTCCAATCCCCCATCTCTCCACACTTTCTTTGGAAAAGAGGTTACAATCCTATTCCAGCATTTTACACCCATGCTTGTGAAATGCTAGTGGATAAACCCTTTTCTAAAGTCAGATTTTCCAGTGAATTTAACACTTAGAAGCACTAAAACAGTCATGAACAGGCTGTTTTTTTAAGCATTGTGTCCTCTGACATTAAGCCCTGATCAGAGTTGAATCCTCTGAAAGCCCAGCTCTGCATACTTAAGGAATTGCATCAACTATTACAAAAAAGCCATCTCTGGAATGAGTATCTGCACCTGGATTTTACAGCTCAAACACAGAGATGGAGGAAGAAGCCAAAGAGCCACAGAAAGAAAGGCAACCCAGAGCTGGTTGCTTACCATACCTTTCACTTAAAAGTGGCCAATTTTCCGTAACAAATTCCCAGGCCATACGGTGCCCAATATCCTTAGTCACTGCATATAAGATGATGATTGAAGTATAATTGGAAGAAAATAACGTATCACTGAGTCCGTACTGCAAGTATCTGTTAGAAAAGAAGGTAATAATTATACCTATCACTTGCTGTTTAACAGTGATGATCTGGAAATACTCAGTTCAGGAAAATTCCTGTCTCAACAAATACCAGGATTTGGAAGTTTATGCCAAAACTGGTGTCACTCTGAACTGTGTATTCAGCTTGGGTTTTGTCCTTATATCGGTGAAATCCCCTGTTCTTACCCACTGACTTCACTTATCAGTAAAATGAGGGTCCATCAGGTGGATATATGTGCTTTCCTTATCTGGGTTACAGATAGGCAACCCCTCCACCAGACAACCCTGTGTTCTATATACACAAAGATATACTTTGATCAAGGTCACCTGTAAAGTAACCACGACTCTTTGGCACAGCTCATAGCAAACAGCAGGATATCTTTATCTTCCTTTGTGAAGTAGTCAGTATGGTTATACATTTCCCACGCAAAATTCCATTCTTTATCACTTCCCACTGCAACACCATAGCAGCAGACCGTTCGTCTAATTAAAAAGGGAATTCTGCAAAGCAAAATATGATTAAAAGGTACTGTATTGTTGTAAAGTCAAAACCAACAATTAACTCATTAACTGAAAAAAAAATATTTACAGCTAAAAGTTGCACAAGAAAGGAAATATAAAATAGCAATCTAAATAAAGCCAGGAAATTTGATTGCTTTATTAATGATTTAAGCACTTTAAAAGCATGCAGTTTAAAGGCAAACCAAAAATGTTTTTTAGAACAGTTGGGCCAAGCTATTTTGTGTACATACTGTGTCAATGCCACTCTTTCACATCGCAGTCTAGGACATGGAGCATGTCATTAGAGTGTATGGCTGCACATGGCATCACCCCAGACAAGCCTTTTTAAGGCTTCTCCAGTGAATGCATCCTGAAGGAAGAGCCATGTGCAGCACAAATCGAAAAAGAAAGGACATTTCTCCATGCAACAGGCAGGCTCCTCTTTCTCCCACACCAAGGCAGAGTCCTCAACATGCCCATTTTTGTCACAGAAACTAAATACAAACATTATCAGTATAATACAGTGCAGTCTTGAACGGAAGATTTCTCCTGTGGCAATGATGTGTCCCTGATAGTAAGATATTGTCAGTGCTTTCCAGTGATAGCAATGTATTTTACTGTGCAGGCTATCTGAAAACAGTTTAAATTAATGATATTTTGGACTAATTTTCTGTAGGAGAATGGGTCCCATTGCTACAAGAAACATTTAACTTCCTGATGGTATATTGTTAATCTGGTTAGTGTTACTTAAGGCCAAGATTGTAAGTAAGAGGTATAAAAACTATCTTCCATTAGGTCAGAAGAGAGACTTGGAAAAAAAGGTAAGTTTCTGGTCACAAAAGCTATTCTTCAGGCCCAAAACTGGAAGCAGCACATTCACATGTAAATATAACTTGAGAAAAATTCATTTGAATTTCAGTAGACTATCCTAGAGAAAATGGGGATGACACCAGCAGAAAGAGAAAAAATACTGTTCAGAAGGAAGTCTATAGGACAGCAATCTTCAAAGCAAAGGTAGAGACATGTAAGTTATAAACTCTGAAAACTAAGGACTCCTGGAAAGGAGGGAGAGAATCAGGTGTTTGGCAGACATCATTTGTTAAGAAGTGAAAATGCAAGATGTGGGGATTTGATTGTTCTGTTGTGGGTGGGGAATTTCACTGCCACAATAACTGAAGAAGTGGGCAATTTTTGTATTTACTGGAAAAAATTAGTTTGGGTGCATTTACCTGGATATATGCTGTAACATAAGGCATTGTCACTGAGAATGACAGTTACCAATACTGAGAGATTATGTCAAGGTAAAGAATAGTCCTGTGAGGAATCCCTTTATGACAGATCTTATTTGAGTAAAAGGTCTAGTAATTTGTTTAATAATCATTTCATAATGCTGCAGAAAGAGGTCACTGTAGGGTAATACAGGGTAAAGCTGCTTTAGCTAAGATACAGCTATTTATTTTGCTACTGCAGCTGTTCCAATAGTTTCAAGAAAATATTAGTTGCTGAGTGCAAAGCTGTTGTGGGTGAAGAGCAAATAGACAGGCTTTCTGTATCATTTAGCTGCAGCTATCATGTTCAGCATTCAAGGCAGGCTGTACGGGCAGCCTACTATGGGATAACGGCCTACTGGCTGGTGGCACCTGTGGTGGTTTATGTTGTATAGCTCACAGAGGAAGTCCACTGTGGACCAGAGGGACTTTGGAGCTTCAGGTTATATTAGATGAGGGGTGGGGCTTATTAACCTTACTATTTTTCCTGGGAGTTGTTGTGTGGTTTGATATTGCTGGCCTGATAGGATTCTTTTATTTCTGGATCTTAAAGACGATACAAAAAGCTGCTGGGAAGAAAGGTGGATTATTTTACATCATTTTCCTAAAGCCAATGATAAAGTGACATAGTGATTTCTTAAGTTTTGAGGGCAATGGCTGTATATGGTTACCTTTAGTAAGTAACTAAAATGTACAGCAACATTCTCCCTCCCTCTACAGACTAATTTCCGTCTTTCAAAAGAAGACAAGCCAGAAACAGCACCACAGAGAATACATTAATTTAGCTGGCTTCACTTCACTCCTATAAGCAAAAAAGAGTAAAACTGAGAAACTGGCTGGGAATCACGGCTCTTGGCTTGTTATTTCCATGGAAGAGATAAAAATGCTCCATATGAAGTCCAGTTAAGTTCTACCAGGAACTATTTGGAAATGTTCAGCAAAAGTTGGTCACCTTATCGGAAAGGGAAAAGCATTGTATGTGTGCAGTTCTAGTGTCCTCATAAGAAGGACATGGAGCTGTTGGAGCAAGTCCAGAGGAGGGCCACAAGGATGATAAGAGCGCTGGAGCACCTCCCGTATGAAGACAGGCTGAGAAAGTTGGGGCTGTTCAGCCTGGAGAAGAAAGGCTGCGTGGAGACCTCACAGCAGCCTTCCAGTATCTGAAGAGGGCCTACAAGGATGCTGGGGAGGGACTCTTCATCAGGGACTGTAGCAATAGGATGAGACATAATGGATTCCAACTAAAACAGGGGAAGTTCAGGTTAGATAAAAGGACGAACTTCTTTACTGTGAGGGTGGTGAGGCCCTGGATCAGGTTGCCCAAAGAAGTGCTAAATGCTCCATCCCTGGCAGTGTTCAAGGCCAGGTTGGACAGAGCCTTGGGCGACATGGTCTAGTGTGAGGTGTCCCTGCCCATGGCAGGGGGGTTGGAACTAGATCATCTTAAGGTCCCTTCCAACCCAAACCATTCAATGATTCTATGATTGTATCCTTCCACAGATTTGAGAATCCTACTGGGTTCCACATGTGGCAGAACAGCTGTAGTGTGCTGTTACGGATTTTCCTCTCAGAATGGAGAATGTAAGAGCATCTATTCACAAAATTTGCTGTTCCCTTTTCCTTTTCCAACCAGCATCTTGAAAGCTTCCTCTTTAAGTGAACAGGAACTATGATCTGTCATTTGAAACATAAGAAGTATCCTATCTCCTCTGTTTTCTTCCCTTAAAACATGGTCCCTTTTTTTTTTTTTTTTACACTTAATAAAATTCATAATTGCATTTTTTTCCACACTTACAGCTACGTGAAGTATGAGGCTGTAAAGTCCCTTTGACCTTATCTCAGTGCCAAAAAGGACAGTGAAATTAATCTTCTCCGTGTAATTTAAAACCAGCTCAGCTGATACATTTCACAGACTTTTCAGCTCTTCAACTCAGATAAGGTATGTAATATTCCTCCAGGAAAAAAATATTTCAAATATTATTAATAAGGGAAGATCAGTGTCTGTTTTGAAAACAGCCTGAGAATTCAGCATAGTATTGTTGCTTCTAGCACGGGATAGTAAGAATATTCTCTCTGGAACATAATAGAGTGTCTTTAGGCTATTTGAACTTTTCAGCTTAACTGCAAAGTAAAATTTGTTTTTTATGAGGATGATCACTAAAAAGCTATTTAAAAAAACACAAACATAAATGTACAAGTTCATTCTACGTAGCCAACTACATATATCAACAGATACACAAGTAACAACTAAATATTTATTATAACTACAACAAATAAAAATAATAATAAATTGAACATTCACTCACCAGTGCCAATACAATATGACTATTGCATAGAAAAAATCAAAAGAGAGAGGGAGGAAAAGAGAATAAGAATTTCAATACATCATAATTTTTCTTTAATAATGCAATACTCAAATACAGAAAGTCTGCTCCTGGTAGAGCCCAGGCTCTATCCTCACAGACCTGACCACCAGGCTCCAGTATCAGCATAAGAACTCACAGCTGTTCCCAGCACCTCCTTTTGTGAACACAAAACATGCAAGATAATTTGATGGGCTCACCACGGACGGATGCGTATCACACAGACATCATTTCACCCAGTATTTCTAAAAGAAGCTTAGAAACTGAGTTGATATATGGTACACCTCAGGCTGTACTGCAGCAAAAGGACTGGACAATATGTAACAGTGGCCATAATCTGATCACTTTTTATGTGGTTAAACAGATTTTGGTCTTCATGGCAAAAAATTTGTATCCTTCATCCTGTAAAGTCTATGAAAAAGCAATAATTATGAAATCATCATTAAGTTTGGATTTGGGGAAGAGGAGGAGGCTGGGGGGCACAGCTAGGCATAAATTCTGTCGCGTTGAGAAAGAAAAGCAGTATACAGGAGCATTTCTCTTTCTGCTTCCCCTGCGTAAGAGCCCTTTAACTTCCCACCTCACTTACACATGCACACCTCTAACAGCACATCATCCTTACTTGTACTCAGGGTTGTCCATCCACTTAGCATATAGTTCAGATGACAGGTTCAAACAGTCTTGGAGACCCAGCCAGCATGCTGTTGCAAAAATCTTTTCCAAATATACTCTTGAAGGGAAGCCAAAATATCAAGAATAAAAGATACGTATTCTACATTTGGAGTACCTGAACTGTGCTTGACCAGCACAGATTCAGAGAATCACAGAATCAGTCATTAGGGTTGGAAGGGACCTTTGGAGATCATCTAGTCCAACCCTCCTGCCAAGCAGGGCCACCTAAAGCAGGTTACACAGGAACGTGTCTAAGTGTGTTTTGGGTATCTCCAGAGAAAGAGAATCCACAACTCCCCTGGGCAGCCTGTTACAATGCTCTGCCACCCTCAGTGTAAAGAAGTTCTTCCTCATGTTGAGATTTCAGCCATTAACCCAGAAGAACCTCTACTAGAAACAGTTGAGGTTTAATAAAAAATAAATTCATAAATAAATAAATAAATAAACAAACTAACGATAATAGTAGTTCCAACATCAACATTCATGGACATTAATGAGACTACAAATGTACTATCATTTTTCTTAGGTTTTTTTGTGGTTTACATCCCTCTTGGGAGTTTTAAGAGACTAACTGCATCTAGTCCAAATCACTCTGACATTCAAGACTATGGCTGCAGTGGCCTTGCAAAATGAAGCATTTTAAAGTTCTAGTGATTGATCCATAAATCATATCTAAAGTTCATTGCTGTCAGGTTTTCACCCACTAGCAGCAGCCTGTTGAGCCTGTTCTCCAATCAACAAAAGCTACCACTTAGATCATTAAACATCTTGTATGGTCACTAAAGCATCCTAAGTAACACACGCTTACAGGACAGTAAAAATAACAATTCAGTTACATTCAAATCAATTAGAGCATTTTTCCTGTATCCTGCATTTAAATTTCGAGGCCAACTGCAGTGTATCAGACCCATTCACATCATAAAAAACTTCTGAGAAAAGCAGAATACTTACTGAGCAAAATAGTCATCTTCCAAAGCATCAACATTTTGACGAATAAAACCTGCATAATAATGGTATATTGGCAACATTCTCTTTAAAAGGTATTTCTTTCAAAAGAAGGGAAAGAAAAATTACTTTAATTTAGATGCAAGTTTTTATTTTACTGTATTTTTCCTTACTTTCTCATATTTAACTTATATATTTACCACTATTAATTTCTTAACAACACAACACATTAAAATAAACTATATAAATTTGGTCTAAAATTCAATACACCTGCACATCCATTCTAACTGGGAAGTTACCATTTCACATCACTAGGATCTCTGAACTTACTATGAAAGAAAACAAATGCTTGTTCTCAGGGGAAAAAAAAAAAACAAAACAAAACAAACAAAAAAAAAAAACCAGAAAAAGAACATATCAGTAGAAAATACTTTAGAAATACAACAGAAAATACTTCCCACATATTTTAAACATACCTTTACTTCAGAATTTAAGAGAACTACTACTGTGGGGTTGCACTTTAAACAGAAGTGAAATCTGCTTCAAGTAGAAGTCAAGAAAATAAGTAAGACAGTATCATCTCAGGTAGCTCAAATATGTGAAAGAATCATCTCATTTAGTATCCAAACCCAATCCCTTCTTTCTCTCTATGAAGACAAACTGGAAGGCAGTACAAGCCACACAGCACATACATACTATATGCCCTTTATACATAACAGTGTTTCTCTCATTACTTACCACTGACTATTTATTACTGACTGATAGCTGTATTTTCCAGATCCTCAGTTTTTCAAAAACCCAGGATCAAGCTTAATATAAAGAATTTGATATATTTCTACTTTACAATAAGAATTGCTCAAAGTTCAATGATATTTTTATCATTGACTAATATATACAAATAAGTACCTCCTTCTATTAAAAAAAATTACATATGCAAAGGGAACAACAAGAACTATCATCCATCATAGTCATCATCACATTCTTGAGAATTTAAAAAGCATTCATTTTAGTTTGATTTATTTAAATGGTCTAGTATCTTTGCTAACTAACGAAACAGTTGATACCTTTAGAAGTGGGTATACTTCATAGTTCTTCAGAGTACTTTCCAAATTCTCTGGTACTAGGTTTAACAAAACCATATTCCATATGAAGAGTTCATCTTCTCTGGCAAGGTACTTTGTTAGTTCAAGTGCTGTTTCAATCTGAATATATCCAAACCTATTCAAAAACAAAAAAACTCATACTTGAGCATATCTAGTCAATTCATCACCTACCACGAACATCCATTTATTTATGAAACTGACAATAAAATGTCAGGAAACTGCATGGAAAGTGACCTAGAAAAAACGTTGGAAAATAGAGCTAGCTCTCACATTTATTACAGCGCCTCTCTCAAAAGTAATACGACAATCATGGCAGTAAGCATGGCAGCATGCAGACTATTCTGCTTGTGCCTTCAGGACACAGCATAAGCACATTTACAGCACATACCAGTCTCACTAGAACAAAATGAAGTAAAAAAGCACTGGTATGAGTTCTAATACGTGTGTATTTTTATTGCTAAACAACGTATTTTCATTACAGGTTCTTTTGTAAAATACACATTATTGTAAAAAACAATAAATTTCACTCACATGCACACTATTGGTGGAATGAGTGACTTCAGCATGGCATTTCTGTGCCTCAGTATGGAATAAGCACAGAACTATTTTTTTCCCAATTAAATTCCAGTTCAAGCCCCTCTCCTCCAGAACAGAGATATTCTAGTGTATTTACATAGAAGCACAGTTCTGTACTTCACAGTTACATTCCTTATTAAATATTAATTTTGAGCTCTCTTATGAGAAAGGGCATTTGTATGAGAGGAGAAATGGGAATTTTTACTTTCTCCTCTCAGTGCTACCTCCACAGGCTCTGAGGGGATGCAATATGCTCTGGCCACCTCCCCCCCTGAGCTCCCACATCATAGGTGTCCAACGCCTTTGTGACCTCTGTCCGTTTAAGGCACAGACATATCTATTGCTTCTTCAGCTCCCTATAGTACGGCTGACCTCTTTAGCACCACAAACATGAACAACCAAGTCATCCATCAGCCAGGGAAATGAAAGAGGTATTAGCAGTGATACAGGACAGCATAGCTGAGATAGCTCAGAATAAATTAAGGAAAATTCAGAATGTTCATTCAGAATCTTTCTTCTGTTACAACAAATACAGGTTAGTCCTTAAAAAACTCATGACAATGCCATTATTTAAAATACTTTCTAAGAGTGGGAACAAAATTTAGAAGAAATTTTGAAAGAGATCACTCAGCACTGACAGAAGAAAGGATTAAATACTTAACTCCCCCAGCATTTTGTCAAAACAGCTGTTGTTCTTATGAGATGCATATGGGTAGGAATGAACAAAGCAGTAGCAATGTTGAATGCAGTCATGTAGTTTAATCATTTTCTATGACATACTTGAAATGTACTTACTGTGTCAATGCAAAAACATCATCTATCAGCTGGAACCTGCTGACAGCACGAATAGCCTGCAAAGAGCATTTACAGTGGTGTTAATGGATGTAAAACATGTCATTAAAAGTTTAAAAAAGCTTTACCATGTTTCAGAAGGATAAGACACTTTTTCTAAGCCAAAATCTTCTACAAAAAGTCATAAAATGGATCCTGCATTTTAAGCTGAAATTACATATGTGCTTTTAGGGATGTTTGTATATATAAATATATAGCTACATAATATAAATATTCAGCTACAGTACATTAAGCATGGAATTTCAAGATCCCTCTTATTAGCATGCTGAAATGAAAATTAAAATACGGAAATGCTGTATTTCCTAAAATTATCCCAGTTCTGTCATTTTAATACATTTTTTCCTTCTGGTGCTTCAGGTCGGAGTGCATCTTCTAATTAGTCCAGAGCAAAGTGTCTGGCACTATTATGAATTAAATGACTGACGCAGACCTACTGGCAAACCCCTGCCTACAGTTTGTGCTCTTGTTAGGACTGCTGGTCCCTCCTCATCTCCTCCCTGCTCCCATGCCCTACAGCTTGACCACTGCTTGAGAGAACCTTCCCATTGACTGGTGCCAAGTCAGCACACACCTAATTTCCTACTGCCTTAGATCTGCTGTGGAAGAAAAAAAGCCTAGAAGGAAATCAGTATGCCATAAAAAGGTTTAACCACAACCCATGTTCCTATCATCCTCATTTCCAGACCTGGAGAAGTTGTCTGACTGTGCTGATTACTGTGATGCTGAAAGCTTAAGCTTTCTCACTGTTCTTACCAAAACCAATCAGTTGACATTACTACTGGAACCTCTGGCTCACTCCTGGGTGAGGCAACATTAACTACTGTCCAACCCCATATACAGCCACACGTATAGGCTGTTCTGTACCACTTTCACCTTCAGCCCAAACTGTGGCAAGTCAGAGGTGTCTACAGTGTTAATAGGGGACTAAAAGAGCACAAGTAGAACTGATTAGAACATCTCAGAAAAATCTCAAAAAAAACCCAAAACAAAAACAAACAAACAAACAAAAAACCCCCACCAACCAAAACCACCCAAGTCAGATGACTTTTTCCCTGAAATTACACCAGCAGAAATTCTGTGATTTGTGGAAATGTGGAAATAAAAGGCTTTCTCCCAGCTTTCCTTCTCAATGGTTACCTAACAGCAGATAAAGCTTTATCACACATCCATACCAATAACATTTTGAGCCAAATTTAAGATACTGAAAGAACCATTAGCTGTTAAGACAACTTTGAAGACAGAATGCCATCTCATGTAGTTATTTTTCATGCATATGTGAAATTACTTGGATCTGTTCCTCTCCCACTGTGAAAGGCTGCCAGTGACTTTGGTGGTGCAACAGTGGATCATTTCTTCTTATTTGATACATGAGTTTCTCACTATTCCAGGTTTTCATCAGTGTGATTACTGGCAAGAACTGCAAGAAGAAATACATGGAAAGAGTCTGTTTATAAGCTTGAGAAGAGAAATGTGATCTTACCTTTGGATCATTTTCAAGCAAGCGTGCTAATCTTTTTAAGTTTAACTGGTCATAGTTCACTCTGTAGTATCCATTTAAATTCACATTCAGCAGAACCCAGTCATATTCTGATTCTGACACTTGCATTTCAGGAAACACTTCTGCAAAGTGACATTAAAATATTTCATTTTATTTTTCTATACACTGCTAAATTCTCTTCACAAGTTAAATAACATGGGAAAGTGGCACATGACAGATAGCAGCTTAAACATTTAAAACCAGCTAGAATATAGCACTAGCAGTACTTCCCCTATAATAGCATATTGGTTCAATGCTGTACTAATCATCAAGAGCACTTTTAGATCCAGCTAAGATAGCAAAACTATGCTCCTCCACTATCAAGGCTCAGTGAAACATGTTCTACCGTAACAAAACCATTCTCCTAGTGTGCCTTTTATTGCTGCATGGATGTCCCAGGGACAGTGACCAACATAATTACATGGGCAGAAGCTATTGAATGTAGACATTGCCTGAGGAGCCCTCAACCAACAGGACAGGCTTTCAACACTGTACAGTGCATTGCTGAATGAACATGCTTGGCACTGCTTGGAGCTTTGAGTTTAATTCAACACATGTAGAAGTATGATTAATTAGCTCCTGCAGAGCTATGTACAGCAACAATACACATGCAAAATCACTTTTGAGGTATCCCTCTTTATGTATTGCTATGCCACTGAAGCAACTATTCCAAAATTCAAGCTAACGCTTTGTCCTAAATCATTTTATTTACCAAAAGTATTGTGATGAACACCCCTTAAAGACAACATAACATTTCTCCACCAGAAGAGAACTCACAGGAGTTACCAAAATAGTAACCAAACTTAAAATTACCCTTAACATTTGCATGTTTGTAAAAAAATATTTGGTTTATTTATGCATGAAGAAATCAAAAATAAAATTATTATTTTTTTAATCTAAAAACATGAATGCAAGTTCCTTGACTGAAGAGTGTCTGATAAGTTCGCTACATGGCTTTCAAATACAAGTGAAACGTGTGTTATGTCCCTATTCAATTCAAATACATCCTGTGTAGAGAAGAGTTAGCTGTGTTTTTATTAGCTTGGTTTTAGCATGCGTGAACAAATAAATTACTTACTGCTGCTTTTATCTAGCCACATTAACGGCTGTGATGATCCACTTCTCATCCAAGAAATAGGAATAATCCATGTGTTACTTAACAAAGAAAAAAAAAATAATACAATTAATTCTTAAGCTTAAAAATACTCCACTCTCAGCTTATGCTAAACTAGATTGCAGATGAGTTCCTTCTTAGAACAATCTCCATCTACCTTCTCTCCTCTGATACACAAAACCTCAACAGATGGTGGTACCTACACTGGAAACTACGGCATGGTTCATCCAGGTCCCCAGTCTGTACAACTGAGGCAGGAGGAAAGAAGGAAATGCCAGGCAAAACTCCTGCCCTGCAACCTATTCATGGCCTGTGCCTGTCCTTACAAAACCATTACATGGCTACTCCAGAGAAAAGCAACTTTTTGGCAAAGCAAGCAACTTGCAGAACTACTGCAACCTCCAGTGTCCCACAAATTTTACTTAATTGCTTCTGAAAAGAAAAAACCATAAAGTTAAAAAATCAGATAGTCAAAACATAATGTCCTAACCGAAGAGTTTCCTGCAAAAAACGAGGGTATAAACATACAATAAAAACACAAAATAAACATACTTGTAAGAATCAGTGCTGTTTTCATTCTTTTTATTAAGAAATTGTTCCTGACTGATTGTGCCAGTGGTTATATTTAATGTTAAAACTGGAAAACCATTTTGGCATGTCCACGAATCCATTATTTGTTTTACAGATGCTGGCAACTGAACTTCATTCTGTGCATCTACAACCTGCAAGAGAAACGAAAATTATAAATAGTTACAATAAAAAGGTAGTTACTGATATTGCTTCAGCAACACTCTAGGGGTTGTTATAAAATACTAGAGAAAACATAACTGCTTAGCAGTTTACTGGTCTTTGATTCATGCAAAAAAACCTCAGTGTAACAAAGCCCAAATGACATTATTGACATCATAATAAAGACAGAGTAAGCCTTTTTAGGAATTATGAAATACCGAGATGACATTTCTCATTCTGATTCTGTATTCTGACTGCTAACCTTTCTCTTTTTAGTGTTAATGTATTTACACACCTCTATGGCTATGACAGACCTGATTTGTTGATTTCATTCAAATAAAGCTGCCATAAGAGATTTTTAAGTGACTACCTAATGAACTAAATGAATAGTAAAGACAGATTGAAAAACACACTAAGCTGTAGTCCTAGCTAGTGTGAATTGGTACAGTCTCTGTTAGTTTAAAAGATGTAACAGCCTTGTGTATCTGAAATTGTGGCACTCTAGCTCTTAACATAAGAATGAGTCTGCAACACAACGGAAGCCTTCTTTAGAGGACCAGGACACTGGAATTTTTTAAAAAAACCTGCACCTGTTTTCCTATTCAGATTTCTGCCAGAACCAGCTGAGCTGCTGCCTGGGTATAGACTTTGCTGGATCTGTGACTTATCAGCATCTATAATCACCAAGCCCAGAGCATCACACACTCTGATCTGGCAAAACTTAGATCCCAGAAGAATAGGCTATGCAATTTCATGTAGGCTTACACAATCTCCATGAAACCCAAAACTCCACCTGGCCCTGATTTCCCATCTCATCTCTCTACTCCTGTATTTAGCTCCACTGGTCTCAGGTGCAGTAAAGCAGCCAAATAAATACTTGTGAAGGCATTAGCCAAAAGAGACAGCAAAGCAAATGTTATGCAAAAGACTGAACACAGGATAGCCAGATTCCAGTGCAGTTTTCTATAAATAGTATATGGCCTAAATTTGGACTGTGCCAAATACCAGAGCAAGAATACTAAAGATAAAATGAGTACCATCTGTATGTGGGTCCAGAGATCATCTTGGTTAGCATTTGAGAAAGAAAATTCTTTCAGATACGACTGTACAGAAACAAACAGAAACATCAGAATTCATGAGGGTTCAATGAAAAACAACAGCAAGACAAACAGGTATTTGTACAATTGTAATTTTTCAGGCTTATAAATCAAGATGAGGGCACTAGTTTTTCAAACTTACAGAAAGTGCTCTCATAAACAACTTCTCAGTCAGGAAACCAGAAAGCATCCACGTAATAGAGGCCCCCTGGAGTACCAAAAAAAAAAAAAATAAAATGAGAAAACATGGATTATTATTGTGATTATTATTGCAATATTTTTTCCAGAGAAATTACTCAGGCTACTCCTACGCTTCATATTTCATGGAGGTTAAAAATACTTTCACCACTTCTTTCATAGCCAAACACATCTGCAACATCCAATAAATTTTCGTGTGAAGCAGAAACTTATTTTGAATGCCAAAACAACCTACAAAAAGCACTGTAATTCAACAGTTCCTCTCTAATAAATTTTGTACCATTAGTTTAGAATATACCAGAAATGGGAAGCATTATGTATTTTTTAACCTTGCTGTATGTGATGCTGTCAAACAGAGATATTAAAGAAAATGATCCTTTGATCTTTTCTTCAGTCGCTGACAGTGATCGAACTCCTCTTTCATTGTCTTCCCTTAAGACAGGTTGTACAACATGATCATAAAAGATTTTATCCTGCAAGAAAAAGACAAACCCAAGTGAGCTGAACAGAAAATACTTATTCTCAGGAGAGAATACAGATTATGGGATTAGCACTAGTAGAAATAGTTATCAATAAACAAGAAACAATCCTTTTTCCCCGCTCCCTAACTTTCCCATGGAGTCAATGAGACCACATACCCAATCCACATACAACATCAGTGATGAGTGAAAATTTTACATCTGAGAAGACTGAGACAATTATGGTGTGATCCTCAGGGAAATCAACTACATTAAACAATAAGTGAACAGATACTGGAAAGTGAAAACCTGTATGGGATGTTTGGAAAAGATCTTGGATGGGGTTGGAAGGGGTGCAAACCATCAGCTACAGGACCCAGGAGAGAAAGCTCGGTTTACTACATGACAGACCTAGGGCAGAACACCAACTCCTTGTCACTGCAGAATCGTAGATGTCCAGCCATCGTCTGTGCCAGCTGCAGAAGAGCTCAGTATGATCACAGCAGATGGACACCATCCAGGAAACAACCGAGACCTGCTGGTCCTTCCCAGGGGAGTTGAGTTGCTAATACCATGGCTTAATAAAATCCCATCTCCCGCACCTTCCTTTTCTTTGTACATGCTGGAACTTTGCTACTTTAGCTTACTACAGTAAGCGTTAGTACTTACCAGTGAAAGCTTGGGTTCAACAAAGATAGCTCCCAGGTACTCAAAGTAAGACGCCAGTCCCTCATTAAGCCACAGATCATTCCACCAGTTCATTGTAACCAGATTTCCAAACCACTTAAGCGGAAAGAAAAAATGTCTCAACATCTCTTTGAACTGCTATTTCAATTTTTGCAGGTTAAACACACATACCTATGCTGAAGTAACTTTATTTCATGTATAATAAAATGCTGGATATTCCTTCAGACAGTGAAAATTGAATAGAAAAAGATGCCCCTTATAAAAAGTCAGATATTCAGGGCAGGTATTTTTTAAGTTCATACCAGGAGTACGGATGTCATTCTTTTACTCTATGTAATTTTAAATACTTCCCAATAAAATGTAAATATCTAAAAGATCATTATCAGGCTATAGTTAAAAGTAGGGCTTTTATCAAGCAATTATAAAAACATTTTTCCATATTCTTAACAAAAGAAAATTGTCAAGGGAATGATAAACAGAACTGGTGAAACAACCATTTCCAAAATCAGCAAATCCCTATCCTGGCAAGCAATAAAACTTCCACAACAGCTGCTATGTACTCATATTTGGCAGTTCATATTTAACAAAAACCTGATCACTTGCGAATTTGTATTTTATTTGTTAATTCTTAAAAAATTGAACTACAACTTTGTTTTAAAATAGTGTTTAATTAAGTCCTGACATTTGTTTCATTTGCTTGCAATAATAACAATTTGCCCATCGGAAGGTCTGAAAAGTTACAGACCTTGTCAAAAGGGCATACAAGTGCATTAGACAAGTTAAACTCTTTTACTAACGTTGTTGACTAAGTGCAAACAGTTGTAGCTCTGGCAAACAACAGTAAATTAAATATAGTCAATAAATAAGTGAAATTGCATTATCATTCCAAACCCAGTAAGAAAAATTTGGAAAATCGCTATGAAAACTGGAAAAAGATACAGTGTAAAACATTAATTTTCTTCTATCGTATCACAGGGTGTTTCTTACAGAAAAACAAATACCTTTTGCAATGTAGACATGCATTACCACTACAGAAGAATATTTATGGAGCCCATTAATTCTCCCACCAAAGTACTGAGTATATTGTATTTTGTATATTGTATTTAGAGAGCACTGTGTCACCCTACATCCCTACAGTATTTTCTAGAATGGCATTCAGGTACTATGTAAGATAAAAAATAAGTAGTCCGTTAACAGTTTGGTATCAATGAGTCCTGCACAGTCAGTATGCAGTCTGTAATACAACAGAATCTGCTTTCAATATTGATTTATCAGCAGAACATATATTCAAACAGTCTTTCAGCACGCTAGTGCTCACACCCCCAACTGTCCGGTCACTATTTTTCTTCCAATTATCAGTGACCGCAGCATCAGCAACCAGAAGGAAACAACCTCAGAGGCAAATAAATGTACAGAATATTTTACCACGTGCCTGGTGTCCTAGCTCATGTGACACAATTATGGCAATCATTGCCTTTCTGCTTGTGAATTTATCACTTGGTTGGTACATCAGTGATGATTCTTGGAAAGTCATTAGCCCCCAGTTTTCCATAGCACCTGCTCCAAAATCAGGCAGTGCAACCAGATCTAAATTGATTCAAACAGAGAAAAAAAGAATGTATCTTTAAAATTTTCAGAAGTAAAATGCTCACATGATCTTAATGCTCACTCTGGTCCAGCATGCAATTACAGGATACTACATTTTAGTGGTTATTTGTGGTATTATGGCAACGTTCATGCTAATGGTCTGTGAAATTTCTTCTTGTCATACGTTCCACCTATGATTGCTGCTCCTTTGAGAAGCCATATAATAAATTCCCATGAAGCCCAGATCTGTACTGTGTCTTGTACATACAAATGTTTTGAAAAAAATTGAAGGCTGTATTCTGCCAATGCTAGGAGGGAATATATTCACCTCTGGCTGTCAGGAATCTTTGTCTGTTTAAGTTTCTCCTGTGTTTGTGAAAGATCATACTTATCTCTTTCTTTCTTCAGCGTACCAACTGATAAAAATAAATAAATAAATCTTGCTCTTTCGGCTCTATGAGTAGAGGAATTCTTTCCACTCTTATGTGAAAGGTGCCTTAGAAACATCATCTCTTTGTTTCCATAGTATGGCTGTTACCGCCGTACTCCCCTTCTGACTTACACACAGAGAGCAGTTTTACAGGTCAAATGTGAGAGCTGGACGAAACATCCAAGGATCTCAAAGAAAGATATACTGTTTAAACTCAGCTGCAAAGAGCAAGATTTGGAAAAGGTATGCATTTTGGAAGAGCATTTTGGGAGCAGACATAAGCTTGTACTCCAAACTAGCTGACCATGAGCCAGTTCTAGTCCAAAAGCTAAGCAACTAACGTAACGGTGGTGCTGAACGCAAGCGAAGCTAGACTGCATCGCAGTGGGGCTTATCGCCTCAGGCTTACCTGAAAAGGTATTTCATTTTCAATGAGGCAGCCCCCATCTATCCAGTTTGGGGGAAAAGAGCTCACTTGTAACTGCATTAAAAGCAGGTGAAAAAGAACCCTTAAATAATTCTTTATTTCACATTTTGAGTTTGCAGAAGAAATATCTATGAGTAGCTATTCTGGTTGCTATAATCCTATTGATGTTTAAGCAAAACTTCAGAGAAAGTCTGTGGGAAATGCAGTTTGTATTGCATGACATTACAGTGAGACAGTAATGGTGTAACAGCACTCTCGGAAAGTGAAATCTTACCTTACAAGAACCCTGCAAGAATTTCTTCTACTTCAATTTTGTAAGACTTTTCTACTAATTAATTAATGTATTGACACTGCTGCTAAATAGAAGAACACAAGTATGGAACAGAATTGTCTACAGCCCTTGAATAGCTTCCATGATTTCTAAGATAAAGACTGCACTGCCTATATTACATTTTCCATAATAACAGTAGTGAGTAATTATGCAAGTTATTCTAAATACACTGGGAGTTATTATATTTACATAGATGAAAATCTATTTAATTTCAAGTGCCAAGGTCTGATAGGTCTGACAAATCAGCAAAAAAGAAAGGGGAAAGGGGAAAAATTCTTGCCCCCAAGTCCTGTAATCTGCTAAGATCATTGGCAGGTCCAAACCTCATTTTAAATAAGAACTGCCTCTGTGCTCTTAATATTCTACCAATTTGTATAAAGGAGCATGTTTCCCCATAATATTCATGCTGAAGCCCTTGGGAATCCAAGTACAAGTAGAGAACAAACTATACAGTAGAACTACATAAACCACATAACGGCATCCTTTTTTCTAGACTGAAGCTTGATTTGACATACCTGATGACCATTTTAAATAGAAACACACATTTTCCTGCTAGAGTCGTTTTTCTGAAGAGAAATGTGCCAACAGCGAACTCACAGGTAAGACAGGAACATATTAAAAAAAGCAAGGTATGCTCTGGGGAGACATGGGTTACAGCAAGCGTGGATTTACCTGGAGGACATAGGGACTACTGCATTTGCTGGTATGGTCTATACATCCCAGAAACAGTCACGTAACTGAACAGCTCTTTTCTATCCACTTTGTAGTCCCATCTGCCCCTCTATTAGGAAATGGTGGTTTAAAAGAATGAGTGTGATGTGAAGGTCTGAGTTAGGAGTTAATAAGAGCCATGATGCAGAAAGGAGAATTCAGTGAGTTAAAGCTTAGGGGTTTGGGTTTTTTTCTCCATGAATGTGGTAAGCCATATAAAGAGAACACTGCAAAAGAACCCATTGCCTCTGCGAACTATACACCACCAGCAGGCACTTCTGGTCCATTTAAGAAAATAAGTAATCTCACCTGTCTTTGGCAGAGGATAGCTGATGTTAAGTAAGTCTTCCAGAAATGAAAATATTGGGCCTGTGATATTTAAAGCATAGTCAACATACCCGTTTTTAACTGCCTCTTTCCGAGCCCAAATACGTATCTGCAATATAGCAAGGAAACATTATTTTAGACATCCCTCATATTTCAATTTTCTTCTCTTCTGTGAATCATTGCTTGAAAATGCTGTCTTTCCACAACAGACCATACAATGAAGCTTTTAATAAAAAAGATCCCAACTCAAGTTTTGCTAGACCTAACAAAATGTGGCACAGAGCCTAATCCTGCTAAAATCTAGGAGAGTTCCAGTACGCCAAAAGGGCCAAGATTTGAAACCAACTATAATTGCTGGAACAAATGGACTCCTAGTTTTTCTTTTATTAAACGGAAAATGCTGTGAAATCACATATCTTAAGCCAGTGTTTTCCATCCAGTGAGTCAGGGTGACAAACTTTCCCACTCATTCCCTGAAGAGAGAGAAATGGATGTTCAGACAGCATTTGCACTCCAAGCACACATACTTCTCCTCTTGAACTTTCACAGCCTGAAACAGACCACTAGCCTCCCACTGTTGCTGGAGAGAGCAGACAGCATCTGAGCAGATGACATCTGTACCTCTAAGTAATGAAGCCAGCAGCATCAAGCAAAGCTTTCCCCTCCCATCCTCATTTGCTTTGTCATGGTACTGAAAAGGGTAGCTGCCGATAGTGATGGAGTGGACTGGGAAAAAGTTTATGTCTCTCTCCATCATGTATTTCTGGATGTGGGAACCCCTAGGTGCCTAGCAGCTCAAGCACCCCTGCATTTCTTGCATCTAAATGCAATACATGGTCTCACAAGAAGCTGCACAGCCAAACCCTAACAGCACAGTTGGGAAGCATTAGGATTTAATTTACAAAGGAAAAAATAAAGCGTATTCAGTCAGTAGAGTATCCTCTGCCTCTGAGCCTCTCTTTTCAGACAAGGCTTCAGAGGAGTTTCAAAGACCAGATCACTTTGTTTTGCAAAACCTGAACACAATGGATAGCTAAATCCTTTTCAAGGCCAGGTTGGACAGAGCCTTGGGTGACATGGTTTAGTGCGAGGTGTCCCTGCCCATGGCAGGGGGCTTGGAACTAGATGATCTTAAGGTCCCCTCCAACCCAAACCATTCTATGATTCTATGATTCTAAATATCCTAATCCTGGCAAAACCTAAACACAATGGATAGCTAAATATCCTAATCCTAGTATGCGTTTTGACTTACAATACCGGTGGTTTGGGTTATGAATTACTTACCAGAAAAGACAAAACAGAGACCACAAACATGCTCACACAAATACTGTGGAGACACAACTGACCACCTCTGTCTGAAACCAAGAGGCAAAATGCCCTCTCCCCTTTAAATCTCACAAAATAAATAGAGTTCAGTTTTCCTTCTGAGAAACACTTGCTTGAATGCTTTGATTTGCTGACTCCTGTCACTATAGATCAGCCCAAGAAAAAGGCACCACTGAGAGCCTAAGCATCCAGCATGTTCTATACAGGCGACAGCACGTATGACATACCAAGACCAATCTTCACTTTAAAAAGAAGCTAATACTGTGCTATGGTCACCTCCACACTGCTCTCTCACCCTGTTCCACCATTCCCAAGTAGGATGACAGTGAACTAACGATGAAACTAACACTGTGCTCTCATTTATTAACAATAGCAAGTATATGCTAGCCTTAATAGCTTTATGCTTATTTTGGAACAACTTGATACATCTTTTGTCTGTTAACTTTCAGCAAAAGAAGGAAAGTGGAATAGGTGGTGCCAATGGAGTGGATTTTTTTACGGCTTTTCTCAAAAAGCTTTGGCCATTGCAGTGTAAAAGCAAAACTGAATACTCACTGATTAAGAAGCTTCAAACACAAAACAGTCAGTTCTGAAGGCTAAGAGAGTGTCCACTGCAGAATAGAAGGTTAAAATACTAGCATGCAAAATGCTTGGAACACAGTATTGCTCCTAATGATGTCACGACACTGTTTCTCAAAGGGTCTTGAAGAACAAGGCATTGAACTTCACATAACTTTTTACAACTAAGACAACTAAGAAGATAAGAAGACCCTGAATTATGACCAGTACTTTCTGCAGTACTAGTTAGAAACGACTAAAAAAACATGCTCCTGAAGTTTTAAGATACAGAGCCCAAACCTACTTATGGAATTGTATGAAATTAACAGAACAGGGAAAAAAACTAATTACCCTGAAGGAAAGCTTTCTGCAGAAATATCTGCAGGATAAATGTTAGCAGTTTTGCCACATAAGCAAACAGTTTTGGAATGGAAAGCACAGTTAATTTCTGTGATATCATCTATAAAACACATGATGCACTGCAGAGCCAACTTCTGTTGTTAACCTCCATAACGTGTTATGCAGCCTCATATTTACCTCGTTTCCCCGCTCAGTTCTGGTGACATAATCAAAATCACAAATCACAAAAGCAGTCAAATAAGTTGACATTTTCAGCGAAGTGTTAAATGTGGTAACAGTCCACAGGCTTCCATCTTCATCCTTCATTTCTGATACAGCTAGAAAAAATATCAAAGACATATTCAAACCATTGCTCCTCCATAACAAATGATATACTTTATTTCTGCACTAACTCCACATGTTTCTGGTAGAAGGCAAGAAGCCAGACTTATTGCTACTGCCATGTAGCAGAGTCATGATCTTCCATGCAAAGACCAAAAATCCACTGTTGAGCTTCTTAACTGAAGTCTCGGAAGGATATCAAAACTGCATCAGTTTGATGATGTGGGCAAACTGTAGACAATTTATCCCATGCTGCAAATCTCTCTGCTGCATAGATTATATGATCTATTATGATTGAAACACATGTCATGTGCCCAGGAATTATACCTTCCTTCTGAATAAGGGGGACGAGGACAAGATTCCTAGAGGAAGAAAATGCTTCAAATGATTCTTACAGAGACCCCATTTATCGTGATTCCTAAGATTCTTAGCTTCCATGCAAATCTCGTAAGACTTCCTTGTTGTGGCTGAAAATTATTTAGATGAAAAATAGAGATTTGTGGCACTGAACTGCAGAAAAAAGCAATTAAGAAGGATACAAGAGATCCATCAGATTTCTCTAAGAATACTAATTTACAGAATTTGCTTGGAATCTTATACTCCCCATGCATCCCACATGAGATTCCAGCAAGGGACATGAAGAGCATCTCCAGAGCTTTACAGTCTTCTCATTTTTATTCTGCACACACCGAGGAAGCTGAAGTGTCTCTGCCTGGTAACACAATTATTTGTATGTTGTAAATACGTCTTAAAATCTACTTAAAATGAAATAAATCCCTTAATACCACAATTACAGACTTTGTATACTGGGACTGACGTTTTGTTTTAAGCAGATGTCACACAGTAAGACAGACACACTGACCAAGCAGTAAATGCCAGGAATCAAGCCCTATGCAGCCTACAGCGACCAGAGGAGAGAACATCATAACTGACAAACATGGATTAATTGCCATCAGAGGCATTAACTATGAATAACTGCCTCCAAATTTTTAAGTTCATAAGCACTGATTTTCTGTGTGTTTTCAAGGCATTAGCACATGGACAACAGCACACTGCTGTATCACATCATATAGTCTGTTCAGACAAATTACGCCCCTTTTAAAAGTAATTCAGGGGAAAAAGAAAAATATGTATATTTGCTGTTTACCTACCAACAGCAGGCATGTTGGAAAGAGCCACATAGCTGGGGTCATGGACAATTCTGATATTAAATATGGCTTTCATGGCAGGTTCATCAAAACATGGGTAAACTGTTCTGGCGTATGTTGGTTCCAGTTGGGAGGCAATCAGCATACTGTATTAAAAATACAAGGAAGATTAATCCAGCATGCTACTGCTGATAAAAATCACAGAGTGCATAAAAACATCAAATCAGAAAAAACAAGAAGTGAATCACACAGATATGCAGATTTGGAAAAGGTCTGGTTATTATTTAAATCCCTGATGAAATCCCCATGACCAACAGACAGTACAGTTTGGATGCTTCTAGAGAAAAACCAGTCTTTTCTAAATAGGGCTTCCCCCCCCCCCCCCCTTTTCCAGATACCAAATTTTAAGTATATGAACTTTCCTAGTTTGTTTATTAAGAAAGAGTTGATTAAAGTTTTGCACACAACAGGCTAGTGCTCAAAAATGATACAATGCCCAACTTTAATTTCATAATCAGAGTCTCTCTGTACACCTGCTCCTCTCTGTCCTGGGTTCAGCTACAGCAGTCATTTTTTCTCCTTCTTAGTAGCTGGTGCAGTGCTGTGGTTTTGACTTTCAGCCTGGGAACAACGCTGATAACACCGATGTTTTTAGTTGTTGCTAAGTAATGTTTACTCTGACCAAGGACTTTCTCAGTCTCATGCTTTGCCAGAGAGGAGGGGAAGCCAGGAGGAAGCAGAGACAGGACACCTGACCCAAACTGGCCAAAGGGGTATTCCATACCACAGCACGTCATGCCCAGTATAGAAACTGGGGGGAGTTACCCGGAAGGCCCAGATCGCTGCTCGGGTCGGGCTGGGTATCGGTCGGCGGGGGGTGAGCGGTTGTGTCCTTTTTCATTG